TAACATTATGTTTATGTAAAGAATTATTATTTCTTCCAGTTTAAGCCTAGCACTACATATTTAAAGGAACATAGAGTCAAGCGAAACACCACAAGAGCACAGTGTAGTTTATCTGGCATATAAATATTTCACAGTACAAAAGGCAGCTTTCAGCACCTCCAACCTCCAGTGGCCCACACTGCCCTGCAAAATTCAACTCTATGGTCATGTAACAACGCAGTTGTATACTGGTTGCTGTTATGTGAGTTAGTCAGCCCGATTCAATTCAATTCAATTTTATTTGTATAGCGCTTTTAACAATGGACATTGTCACAAAGCAGCTTTACAGAAATAAATGGATTCACAAAAAAATATATTGTAAATATGTGAATTTATCCCTAATGAGCAAGCCAGAGGTGATGGTGGCAAGGAAAAACTCCCTGAGACAATATGAGAAAGAAACCTTGAGAGGAACCAGGCTCAAAAGGGAACCCATCCTCATCTGGATGCAACGGATAGTGCAATTATAAATAAATCCCTTCTATTATTGTGTACTATATGGACAAATAGTGCAAATGTGCAACCAGTAAATTCATCACAGTTTTTGCAAGAAGTCCGGTTGGTTAAAATCTATCCACTGTCCACTGATGGAGTCCTGAGTACGAAGGTGCTCGTGGCAACTGCAGCCCCAAAGCCACTACAGCAATCGCAGTCCCAAGCCATTACAGTACAGCTCCCCACATGTGATCCCCAAGCCATCTCCACAGCCCCCAGGTGGCACCATCCCCAGCAATCCAAATGGTCCATGTGGGGCCACCCCTAGCAGCAGCAAGCGAACTCAACCGATGAGAACTCCAACCAGAAGTAGGGCATCAGGATGGGTCAGGCAGGTCCGGGGAGCAGAAGGGGTCAGGATCGCTGGCATCTCAGAAGTAGCATGTGTAGCTCGATAGAGAGTGAGGGAGAGAGAGAGATGGAGAGTGGGGGAGAGATTGTTAGGTAAGCTTTTGTCCTCTAATGGCTAAGGACAATGTACTTTGCATGCAGAGTGCAAGCAGGGACTCCGGCAGGAATAGCTATGACAGCATAACTGAAAGGGAGAGCCAGAAGCTAACACAGACATGAGGGCACCCTGGGACATAAGGCAGCCAGCCACTCCACCGTCGTCAAACCTGAGTGAACGAGTGAGAGTGGGGGGGCGACAGCATCCATACATCCCAGTTCACCACAACACTCTATGCCTGCGAACCCTCCAGACCTGCCCCTGTACCTAAGAAAACACTATTCACAAA